AAGCCACAGGTGGATGATGAATGGCCCCTCCCATAGGGAATAAAAGAGGAGTGAAAGGGGAGGGGGCTTTTGCAGGAAACAATTCATGCATTCATAACAATTTGTTAAATTTCAGGAGTGTGGAGATCTGTCTGTGAATCTCAGAGACTCTGTGCCCACTCTTTCCTTGCACAGCACATCATTGGGAAAATATTTACATGGCAGCTTTCCAAGGCAGATAAGGTCTGTGGTCATAAATACTCCTTTGAAAGACTGTTTGCCAGAGCTTTGCTGAATAGAATGAGAGGAAGTCACATTATTTTACTAAAAGGGGTTTTGCCGGGACCAGGAATCTGTTTTGTGCTTTTTGGGAAGCCTAAATCAAAACAGAAGAACTTCGTAAGACTTGAGGGACTCAGGACAATTTTGAAGATGGGGAGGAAGAAGAAAAGAATTCTAGCAAACAAGGTGAGATTTTCTTTGTTCACCTTCATCCAGGACTCTGAAAGGACTAGAAGATCTCCAAGGTCTTCTAGAAGGCCTTGTCTTCTAGAAGACTAGAAGATTTGGTCTTCTAGAAGACTTGGAGAGTCTTCTAGTCCTTCAAGGCATCCAGTCCTTTCAAAGTCCTGGATGAAGAATCCTTCGAGAAGGCTAGAAGGATTAGAAGACACCCCCCCCTTCCAAGGTCCTTTCTAGCTCTATCCCGATTAAATCAAAACAGAAAGAGTGTATTCGGCTACAATATGTTGGTATCCCTTCTTCTTACTCCCCAAAACTCATTTCAATCTGTTAGCTGTTCAGTGTTATCCAGGCCAACATCAAAGACCAACGGAGATCTTTCTTGCAAGGCAATCTGAACAGAGATGTACACATCTGAAATTTTTAAATTAATATTACTTAATGTGAAAATAACACTAGGGAACGCTAGTGAAATATCCCAGGCACCCTGAAAATTTCTAATGTGTACAGTACTTAGAGGAATTTATTGTGCAGGGCAATGAAATCCAAAGGGAAGCACAATGATTTCTGGGAAATTGACCTCTGTAGGTCTTTGGGGTATTCAGCTGTGCCTGTTCAAGGCACAAATCAATGCCTCTTAGACCCGGTGCCCAAGTAGGCAAGAAGAGAGCTTTGCTGTAGGCTGAAATTTCAGAGTGATGAATCTGTCTAGCTTTTCCCCATAGAGAGCAAGGATCTTGTTCTCTCTCTCTCTCTTTCTCTCTCCCCACTCATTCTTCCTCATTCTTTCTGCTTCGTTTAAACGGGATGAGGAAGACACGTTGGCTGCATCAGAGAGCCCTCCAGGCAGAAGCAATATATTAAGCAGAGGTGACGATGAGGTCAACCAAGCACCTGTTTGCCAAAGAGCTTCAGGCTGCCTTTGTAATAGTGAAGAATTCATTTTAATGGGGTAGGACCTGGGAGGAGAAACTTCAGCATTTGCTTTTCCCCATCCCATTCAAGTTATTCAGAACAAGACAGCTCTTCCTTTGGGAGCCAAAGGAGGAATGGAAGATCTTTGGAAGATTTTTGGAAAATCATCTGAAGATCTTCTGAGGATCATTGGAAGATCTAGAAGATCATTGGAAGATCTAGAAGATCATTGGAAGATCTAGAAGATCTTTGGAAAATCATCTGAAGATCTTCAATAAATCATTGGAAGATCATTAGAAAATCATCTGAAGATCTTCAGAAGTTCATTGGAAGATCTTCTGAAGATCATTGGAAGATCTAGAAGATCTTTGGAAAATCATCTGAAGATCTTCAGTGGATCATTGGAAAATCATCTGAAGATCTTTGGAAGATCATTGGAAAATCATCTGAAGATCTTCCGAAGATCTTTGGAAGTTCATTGGAAGACCATCTGAAGATCTTTGGAAGTTCATTGGAAAATCATCTGAAGATCTTCAGTAGATCATGGAAGATCTTCAGTTGATCATTGGAAAATCATCTGAAGATCATTGGAAGTTCATTGGAAAATCATCTGAAGATCTTCTGAAGATCATTGGATCTTCAGATGATTTTCCAATGATTTCAGAAGATCTTCTGAAGATCTTTGGAAGTTCATTGGAAGACCATCTGAAGATCTTTAGTAAATCATTGGAAGTTCATTGGAAAATCATCTGAAGATCTTTTGAAGATCATTGGAAAATCATCTGAAGATCTTCAGTAGATCATCAGAAGATCTTCAGTAGATCATTGGAAGATCATTGGAAAATCATCTGAAGATCATCGGAAGATCATTGGAAAATCATCTGAAGATCTTTTCAGTTGGGCCAAAATTCTTGCTCTTTCATCTAAGATCAGTTGCTTCTTCTTGTTATCTGTTCCACCATGTCTGAAATCCAGA